ATATAGGGATACTGATGAGGTGCGGCTTTGTGAGTTTAATAAGGCCGCGAGGGCAACAAGGTTGCGTGACCAAAAAGGTCGCGAAGTAGGCGATGTCGTGAGGTCACTTGGCCCCAAAGTTGGTGGTTTGGTCACAAGGGTTTTCAACCGTGTGTCGTTGTGAAAGAACAACACCGTTTTGATAACTTTGTGATTCACGAGTGAAGAGGAAGCAAAGTCATTGAAGACTCCAACTTTGCAATGAAGGTGGTTACGAGGCGGTTCCACGGGTAAGTTACGTGAATACGAAGATGATTTTAGATAAAATACCTGGAGCAAGGAGAGAGAAGGGGGCAACCAAAATCAACACAGAAAATACATCTGTCAAATTATCTTTTCTCCGTAATTCCTTTGCAGAGCTCTCCTTCCAGAAAGGATCTCCATAGTCGTAGCGTAGTCCCAGAGCTATCCACGAGAATATCATAGGAGTAGATCTAACATAGATTTCCAAAAAACTCAAACACCCTCGTTCGAAAATTGTTTGGAGAGGTGTGAACCAAGTAACAATCATCTTAGTTTTCAAAAGTCAGAGGTGCATCGATCAAATCATCACCGCCTGAAATAATTTGGACATACCCGGCGGTGGATATTTGATGGTCATCTTGATTCCATAGGTCAGAGGGAGGTGCAGCCCGTCAAACAACACCGCAAAAGTTTCCACAGTGAAACAATAAGTCACAAGTAGTCAAATGAAGCACACCACAAATAAATAGGCCACAAATCCCATAAAATAGGCCACAAGTTTATTAAAGCACACTAGAAGTAATATAAAACAGGCCACAGTTCTATTATAGCAGGCCACAAGTTTATAAAAATACACCACAAGTTTATTAAAGCAGACCACAAACCAACAAAGTAAACCCAAAATTTATTAAAGCAATCCACAAGTTCTACAGATCAAACCAGAAAATCACACCATATATTTTCTTACAATTCAATCATTGTTTTCTCCATTCTTCCATATACTGTGTAATTATACTTGGATATAATTATCCCTAGATGGTGCGAATACACATGGGAGTGAAGCAAAATAAATAGTGAACAAGAAGTTTGGGCAGAACGTCTCCAACTCAAGCAGTGGAACAAAGATCCGGCTTTGCAGCGTTACGGGGTATCACATCTTGACCATCAACTGTCTCCTTCACGTAACGTCGGGAAAGCTTGCAAGTTGCTTCGAAGGAAGAAATCATGGCGAAGAAGAAAGTAGAGTATGCGCCAACTAAAAGGTAGCGGGATCGGGTTTGTCATTCGGCTAATGAGTCCTCGCAAATCACACAATCACCACCGTCGCTACCAGGTTTGTGATCAGGATTATGTTTTCTTTCTCTTTCTCTGTTGCCATGGTCACTCGATTGAGTCGGCGCCAACGAACTAGGTCGCATCAATGCGCTAGCTATCCCCTTGCCGTCATGACAGAGGGGACAGAAGGAGCTGGGGAGGGGGAAAAGCCGAAGAAATAGGACAATTTCCAATTTATCTTTTCTACCAGTATTAGGACACTTTATCCGCTTTCATGAATGTTGTGGTACAAATTCAACCATGTTGTGGTACAAATTCAACCTGTAAATTATATTATTTTTTCATAGAAAAGTCTTTTTATTGTACAAACGAAACTTGTACTTGTGATATAAATTCAACTTATATATTAACCTTTTCATACACAATAATTTACGCTCAAATCTAAACTTGAAATATTAAGATACAAATCCAGTTTCTATCTTCAAACCTCGATCCTTACAAGTTACAACTTACAACCATAGTGATTGGACTCACTAGAAACGTCAATAATGCTTCCAACCATAGTAATTGTGCTCGCCAAGTTAAATACAAATCATTCGCACATGTCCTAATCAACTCACTGCTCATTTGTTTAACATAAAATAAGTAAGATCATCATTTAGCTGGCTTCCGTCGGATCGGTTTGAAAAAGTCCCGTCATAATTATCCCAAGTCAGACCGTCATTTAGCCGGCTGAGCTGGAACCAAATGGAGGGAACTATGGCGCTCTACAAGTCACAATTATGTCTTTATTTTTTTTTTTTTACAATTATGTCTTAGTTTCTTTTTTGGATTTTTCCACAAAGAACATCTTTTAAAAAAAAAAATTACAAAAAGAGCACCCAGCCGAAAAAATTTACACTAATAGCACCCTTTTTTATGTACCGCACCTTAGAGGTGCGTTTTATATATAAACCGCACTCTCAGGGTGCGGTTTATAATCCTAGACCAAAACCGCATCTTGACCAAGCAGGTTTCAGGTCTGACCTACAGAAATCGCTTGGCCGAGGTGCGGTTTTGGCCTGACCTAGCAAAACCGCACCATGGAGATGCGGTTTGTTTCTCCCAAACAAAACCGCATCTCCCAGGTGCGGTTTGCTACACAAACCGCATCCCCAAGGTGCGGTTTTGGTTAATTAATTTCCGACATGCCATGCAGAATAACAGACGTGGCAGACGAAAACCGCACCTTTAAGGTGCGGTTTTCATCAGTGATTTTGCCTATAAAAGACTTCCCGGAAAACCACTTCTCTTCACACCTCTCCTTCTCCTTTTTCAATTTTTTGTTGTAGCACTATATTTCTTTAGTATTTTTGTGATTAACGTTAACTCGTAAGTTTATTTTGTATTACTTTTTATTGTTATTTTTTATTTTTATTATATTAACTGAACTACGGTTTTTTCGCAGATGGCATTCCAAAAGTTCACGCTTGGCTTACGGTGGAATGGTTACACGGAAGAGACCGGAAATGGGGTCACCTACGTCGGTGGCAATTTTCAGAAGATAAAGGTCGCTACCAGACCGCTGCTTGAAGACCTCCATCAAATGTACGCACGTTACTTGCATGGATGGCACGAGAAGAGTTGATCGTATGGTGTACCGATATCCAAACAGAGAAAGTGGGTCATTGTGGCATGAGGAATATCTCATAACCACTCAGGATGAGGTAGATGCCATGCTCGAATTCTTGAGGTCCAACAATCTTTCCAAAGCCAAGATGTTCGTTTACAACGAGCCGGTCGTAGGCGTTGGAGGTCATTCTGGACACGGTCAAACATCTGGTATCCATGGTGGAGGTGAATTATATGGCGATCATCCCTACCAAAGTTACCATGATCCTCATTCCTATTTTCAGTACCAAGAGCAAGGTGAAGGTCATCATCAATCTTTCCCGTCATATGAAGAAGAAGTTCAACCGGACCTCCCCAACCAACCTCAGTACAACTTCCAATCAGGCAGTGGTAGTTTTCACAACTACCATTATGGAGCTGATGAAGGTGCCTTTCATGAGCTGGATCAGATGGAGGATGCCCTGCCAGCACCAGTCAGTGACCCCTCCGATGAAGAAGGAGAGAACAACGTCAGTGCAGACAGCTCCGACCCTCTTGAAGGTGCTGATGATTCAGGACCAGAGTCAGACTCAGCTAATGATGATGAGGTGGCTCGTGACCGTGTACCAGTCCCCTACTACAATCACATTCCAGACGACAATTGGATGGTCGACAACGACATGGAGCCGCCAGAGGCCCCAATATGGGGTCCACTCACTGGGTTTATGAAGGGCCAACAATTTGGCTCAAAGAAGGAGGTGCGGCACACCATTGAGACTGAAGCAATGACTCGACATTTTGAATGACACACAACTCATTCCAACACTAAAAGGCTCATAGTCAGATGTCGTAATCATCACGAGGGGTGCAATGTTAGGATTCGGGCCATCAACAGCAAGAGACACGGCCACTAGGTCATATCCCGTGCGGTGAACACACACACACACACATGTGTGTCATCCATAAGTTCCCAGTTCCATCGACAGTTGAAATCCAGGGTGGTTGCTGCGGCTATCAAGCATCTAATTGAGCAAGATCCGGACCTGAAGGTGAAAGTCATAATCGCTGACATTGCAAGTCGTTATGGTTATATGATTAACTATAAGAAGGCGTGGCATGGAAAGCAGAAAGCTCTAGCCGCCGTCTTTGAACGATTGGGAAGAATCATATGCATTTCTTCCCAGGTTAATTTTGGCATTGGAGGCGTCTAACCCTGACATAGTTTTCTCTCTCCCCCCCCCCCCCCCCCCCCCGAGAATTTTGAAAATCGCGTATGAGTACAACGAGAATTTTAAAATTATATATTAATTAAGTAATTTGTATAAATAATGACATTGTTCAATTTGATTTAACTACAATGCATGTTGTCTAGCGGGTAAGCGAATGTCTTCTATGTTAGGGAATGTGGGTTCAGCAATGAAACTTTAAGTTTTTTGGTCCATTTTTGCTAAAAAAATTCAGAAGAACATGGTACAAATACAAAAATGATTATTTTTTGTTGACAATTTATTTAATAATGTTGAATATCAATGCTACTTTTTTAATTTAAATCATAATTTTAGTGCTAACAATTATTTTAGATAATAAATTATAGTGTGGGATTTATATTATTTGTTTTTTTTTTTTACGATAATACGTACTAAAAAAAATTTCGACCTACCTGAACTTCAAATCTTGACTCCGCCCCTGAAGTAAATTCAACTTGTATATATACATTTTTTACAAAATCGTTATACTACACACAAAACTAGTACTACAAATTAAAGTCAACTTCTATCTACAGAACTCAATGCTTCCAACCATAGTGATTGGACTCACTAGAAGCGTCAAGATAATGCTTCCAACCATAGTAATTGTGCTCACTACAATTTAATTACAAATCATTCGTGTACGTCCTATAATAATCAACTCACGGCATCATTTGTTTAACAGAGAATAAGTCAGAAATCATCATTTTAGCTGGCTTCCGTCGATTCAATTTGAAAATGTCCCTTCATATATATATATATATATATATATATATATATATATATATATATATATATATATATATATATATATATATATATATCTATCCTAAGCCTCATATATATAACTCAACCTTCCAAGCTTAGTTAATAACGTTATTAACTATGGCTCTCTACCACCTACTCCAACCCACAACGATCGCCTTTTCCATCCTCATCCTCACAACAATATTCATCATATTTTCCTGGAAATCAAAACAACGTCGCCGCCTCAACCTCCCGCCGAGCCCGCCGTCGCTCCCATTCATCGGCCATCTCCACCTCCTCAAGCAGCCACTCCACAGAACCCTACAAACCCTTTCAACCAAGTACGGACCCATCTTCTCCCTCACGTTGGGCGTCCGCAACGTGCTCGTCGTCTCCTCCCCATCTCTAGTCGAGGAGTGCCTCAACAAAAACGACGTCGTCTTCGCCAACCGGCCGCACAGCTTCCTCGGGTGGAAGATCCTCGGCTACAACTACACCGCCATAGGATCCGCACCGTACGGTCCGCACTGGCGCAACCTCCGCCGCCTCTCCACCGTCGAGCTCCTCTCCACCGCCCGGCTCAACTCCTCCCTCCACGTCCGCCACGACGAGGTGAACCGGCTGGTCAGCGGGCTGGCCGAGGAGGTTGGGTGGTCGGGCCGGTTTGGCCGGAAGGTGGAGATGAAGTCGAGGCTGGTGGGCCTCTCGATGAACATTGTGATGAGGATGGTCGCCGGGAAGAGGTACTTCGGCGGCGGGGAAGGGAAGAAAGAGGGTCGTGAGGAAGGGGAGAGGTTTAAGGAGTTGATAAGGGAGGTGTTTGAGCTGAGTGGCACGTCGAACCCTGTTGATTTCCTGCCCGTGTTGAAGTGGGTTGATTTCAGTGGACTGGAGAAGAGGATGTGGAGAGCGCATGAGGAGATGGATGCTTTCTTCCAGGGTTTGATAGACGAGCATCGACGGGAACGAAGGGAGGATGACGATGTCGCGTCGATGACTACAAGGAAGACGATGATCGATACTATGTTGTCGTTGCAGGAATCTGAACCTGAGACCTACTCCAATGATATCATCAAAGGACAAGTCATGGTAAGTAAATAAATCATTTTTATTTCTCATATATAATATGAATTTTGCTATTATTGTCGTATATGGCTGGAGCACCAACGCATCAATATAATAACGCGATGGATATAATAAAAGTCGAGAGTTGTAGTGGGTTGGTGAACAGTTAAAATCTTGATAATAATGGAGTAATTTATTCAATAATCAAGGGGATGGTGTGGTGTGGTGCCGTGCCAAACATAACAAAGCTATAAAAATTAAAAATGAACCTTCTTTGTCAGTTCCCATTTCTTTTTTCAACTTTATGGATGGATGGAAATTAACCCACTTCAGCAGTCGGGGGTTGATGGCAGCAAATTGTTTTCTAATGGGAAAGAGGGTTAAGTTGATTCTTGTTTAAAGACTATGACTAGTAACCTTTTGATGATGAATTTTTATTTAAGGGACAAGTTGGAACGCAACATTGTTAATGAGTTCTTTGATCAAGTAACGGACCAATTTTTTTTATTTAGGAGTGTTTTCTTTCGAACTTAAATTAAGATAATAATTTAAAAATAAAAATAAATTTTTTAAATTAGATAATATTCAACTAGTACGAATTACAACTAAATATTAATTTTTTTTTTGTAAAATACACTCCATATCTGCAATGCTCGTTCAATTTTTTAAATATCATACTATACGATAATTCACGAGCTGACTAACTATTCAGTTTTAAAACTTGTTCTTGATGTAGCTTAAAGATGAAATATATCTTTCAACACTTGCATTTGTAAATGGTAAAATCAATACAACTTTGACAAGAAAATACTCTAATAATAAATATGATAGATTTAATTTTGTCTTCCTTATATACTAAGTTAATTCATCATCTTCTTTTAATTCAAATACTAACTCATCATTCTAAAAATAATTAGAAAAATGAGTAAGAAACGTTACCACAATTATTAAGTTAAAATCGAGTAAAACTTATTAGCTTCTTCTTGTCAAAAACAACAAACTCATTCTTAACGCTAAAATAATCATACAAATCAACAGTCTAGTATTCAACTCATCAAAGCAGTAATTACTCTTGCATTTGCATGTCAAGAACAGAGTAAAACAATTCAACCTGATAGTAATGCAAACATCATCAATATCATAATAAGGGTGGGGTTGGGAATTTAAATTTTTTTTTTTCGTTGAGTAGGAATTTAAATTTTGTAGTTTAAATAAAAATGGGAGAAATTGGATTTAATTGGATTTTGTTTTATATTGTAATGGCATTTATGTTTTGAACATAATAATAAATTATTTATAGTGTAATATATGATATTTTCTCTAAATAATTGTAGAAATACGGATTAGGATCACAAATATTGTCATCTTTTTTTTGCTCTCAAACTCAAATTACTAATTTTTTTAGATATTGCAAACTCAAATTACTATTAGAGTGTCGATAAGTTTTTCTCCAAATTTTAGAGGTTGTGTTTCATCCATACGCTAAAGTCAAACTACTGCCAGACCATGGAAGTGCCACTACTTTTACCTGTATTAACACATTTGTGAGACTTCTTTCTAACATCTAGATTTTTGGATATAAAAGGTGTGTGTTCTAAACAGACACAGACACACTTGTTCTTGAACAGTTCGTTTGATTTTTTGGTGAGGTTATTATGGCGCTTATATTGTTTACAATCCTTTATTGATAAATAGTATATTCATTTGTTACTTCATGAATCATTCAATTTGAATTTTTTTACTTCATGGAACATGGTCATCACAAACCCAGAAACACACTCTTAGAAACCAAACAATGTAATTTATAATGCAATAATTTCGTTAATACCATATATCTTATAATACATATATTGATTTAACTATCACGAAAACCAAACAACTCGTTAGATGTTTAGTATGTGTTTTGGACATGGAAAAGAGAAAAGTACGTAAGCATCAATTAAATTACATATTTGTAATCTTTTGTGTTTGTAGTCATTGATACTTGCAGGCACAGACACTTCAACGGCGACAGTGGAATGGGCCATGTCACTCTTGCTTAATCATCCAGAGATACTTGATAAGGCAAGGGCAGAGATTGACAATGTAATCGGCAACAGTAGGCTAGTACATGAAGATGATTATACTAACCTTCCATACCTCCAAGGCATCATTAACGAAGCATTACGTCTCTATCCGGTAGGACCACTTCTGATTCCACACCAATCATCGGAGGAATGTACCATTGGAGGCTATTCCATAGCAAAGGAAACGATGTTATTTGTCAATGCATGGACTATACATAGGGATCCCACAATTTGGGAAGATCCAACAAGATTCTGGCCGGAGAGACATTTAGAAGCAGAGTTGGATAGTTATAAATTGCTACCATTTGGTGTGGGACGAAGGTCGTGCCCTGGTTCCGGCCTTGCGAATCGTGTGGTAAGTGTGACGTTGGGGGCTTTAATACAATGCTTCGAATGGGAAAGGGTCGGTGTGGCACTACTAGACATGACAGAAGGACCAGGACTCACCATGCCTAAACTTGAGCCAATGCAAGCATTTTGTAAACCGAGAGAGCTTATGAAGGATGTTTTCAACACTATACAAGGTGGCATATAGATGTTATTTCCCTGATAATTACTTCTTTTTTTCTCTTCTTTGCTTTTACTTTTGCTCTATTGTGTTTTTCCTTTATCTTTGAATTTAATTTTGGGAAATAATGAATCATGGACAAAACTGGCTCAACGGTCCTTTAGTTCGAGCTCTACTGTTCACTCTAATCCGTTCGACTTGGTTCACACTGATTTATGGGGTCCGTCTCCTGTGACCTCTTAGGTTGGGTTTCGGTATTTTGTTCTGATCATGCTTCCAGGTATGATTGGGTTTACTTTTGATAAACCCCAAGGCAGGGCTTAGGATCAAAGCGGTGCAGCTAAGAGGTCTAAAACCTGAGATTGTGTCTCGAACAAGAACCTTCACACAACAAAGTTGTTTTGTAGTTTGGATGGAGAGTTTTCGTGCAACTTTCACAAGGGAAAGAAGCTCGAAACCTATAGGTCGATGCTTGGCCACGATCAGGGTGATGAACTGATCGATACAAGCTCCCGATTGCTTAGACTCGTCCAAGCAATCCAACTCGATTCCTCACGCAACTAGCGAGATGAACCAAATCTCTACTTTGTATTCAATTGATCAAAAAACTAACTATCACAATGAATCAACTCCACTTAAATAGACCTAGCAATTCCTAACAACGTTTAACTAAGTTCAATTACAATTCTACTTGGAAAAGGAAGCAAAACAAGTCGTGGAAACCAACTAAGCTAAACTGTCTACTAATCCTAATCCGACTAGGATTCGGATTACTTATTCTTCCAGGCAGAATTTTCAGTCTCGAAGCGATCTTTAGCCCCCTCGTTCGAGCCCTTGTAGACATCACCTTGATCAGCCAATACCTTGTCGATAAACTAGAAGAAACCTGCTTTCATGTGGTGTAAATGTGGAGGTTCGACGCTTTCCCATCTTCCTCATCCCGAGCTTCAAAGATCCCTTCCCAACTCTGCTTCCATACTTAGAAAAATATGGCAGTTCCTCCAGTGTTGAGCTAGCATTTTGATCACCTCGGAAAACCAGCCTCTCGACTTCTCCTTGAGCTCCAAAGCATACCGATTGAAATAGCAGCTCCTCTTGTCCAACACAAACCAAAGAACTCAAGTTTCTATCACACCAATTGAGACTTATGCTCGTCCAAAGTGGGTACCTGAAATAGTCACAAACACTTAGACAAAAATCAAAGTTCTTAAACGTGCCTAGCTTGCCTTCATGATCGATCAATTCCAATCTTGATAAACCCCAAGGCAGGGCTTAGGATCAAAGCGGCGCAGCTAAGAGGTCTAAAACCTGAGATTGTGTCTCGAACAAGAACCTTCACACAACAAAGTTGTTTTGTAGTTTGGATGGAGAGTTTTCGTGCAACTTTCACAAGGGAAAGAGGCTTGAAACCTATAGGTCGATGATTGGCCACGATCAGGGTGATGAACTGATCGATACAAGCTCACGATTGCTTAGACTCATCCAAGCAATCCAACTCGATTCCTCACGCAACTAGCGAGATGAACCAAAGCTCTACTTTGTATTCAATTGATCAAAAAACTATCACAACGAATCAACTCCACTTAAATAGACCTAGCAATTCCTAACAACGTTTAACTAAGTTCAATAACAATTCTACTTGGAAATGGAAGCCAAAAAAGTCGTGGAAACCAACTAAGCTAAACTGCCTACTAATCCTAATCCGACTAGGATTCGGATTACTTATTCTTCTAGGCAGAATTTTCAGTCTCGAAGCGATCTTTAGCCCCCTCGTTCGAGCCCTTGTAGACATCACCTTGATCAGCCAATACCTTGTCGATAAACTAGAAGAAACCTTCTTTCATGTGGTGTGAATGTGGAGGCTCGACGCTTTCCCATCTTCCTCATCCCGAGCTTCAAAGATCCCTTCCCAATTCTGCTTCCATACTTAGAAAAATCTGGCAGTTCCTCTAGTGTTGAACTAGCATTTTGATCACCTCGGAAACCCAGCCTCTCGACTTCTCCTTGAGCTCCAAAGCATACCGATTGAAATAGCAGCTCCTTTTGTCCAACACAAACCAAAGAACTCAAGTTTCTATCACACCAATTGAGACTTATGCTCGTCCAAAGTGGGTAGCTGAAATAGTCATAAACACTTAGGCAAAAATCAAAGTTCTTAAACGTGCCTAGCTTGCCTTCATGATCGATCAATTCCAATCGTTTGAATCACCAAATTGAGATCATATCAACTTTCTTCGCTGTAAGTCTCGATTTGCTTGTTGTGGTAAAGGAATTTTTGGTTATGGTCAAGACTCAGTTTGGTTGTGTAGTTAAGATTCTTCGATCCGACCCAGGTGGCGAGTTTACTTTTGGTCCCTTGCTGGATGTGTTCAAGGAATATGGGACTTTACCTCAACAGTCTTGTCCGGGCGTGCCGCAACAAAATGGCCTTGTTGAGTGTAAACATTGCCATTTCTTGAGCTTAGTCGTGCTCTTCTATTTCGGTCATCTGATTCTTAAATATACCGAAGAAATTTCTCAAACATCGCCATGTTCTTGAGCGTAAACAAAATGGTCTTGCAGGAAGTGTCTAGTCCATCTTCTTCTGCCTCGGGTCCCATGCACGAGTCATTCTCTGGTGCATCTTCTACTCCCTTCATCCCACATGATAATCACGAGGAGACAGACCTCGATTCCCATCTTGTTTTCTAGAATGAGATTCCACCTTTATGTCGATCCTTGCGCTCTACGAAGGGCCACCCTTCAGCTCACATGTCAGACTTTATGGCTTTCTCGACCTTTTACATACCTATTCCTGCAACATACAAACAAGCTCGTGGAAATCCTAATTTGGATAATGCTATGACGACGAAAATTCATGCACTGGAGGCTAATCACACGTGGGATGTGGTTCCTCGTCCCCTTGATGCTCTTGTGTGATGAGTCCCTAGGTGGGTCTCTTTGATCAGAAGTACGCAAGAATGAATCAAATTGAATCCAACTCAATTTATCGAACAAGAACGTGGTCGTTTTGGATAGTTTTGAGATGGCTCTTTCATGCAATTGCTCACAAGGGCAAAGACTTGAAAAGAATAGGTTAGAGGCTGGCCATGATCAAGAGTGAATAGCTTGATCAATACAGCAGCAAGCTACCTAGAGCTCGTTCTAAGCAACTCACACACTCACGAAGCAGAGCTTGTGAATCAAACTTGTTGTTTTTCTTCGATTGAACTTAAAACTGAGTTACAACGCAATTGGATAAATTTAAATAGACCTAGGCTAGCTACCAAACTAATACGGATGTCCCAAACACAAACAAAGTGGGAAATCAAATGCAAACAGAAAAAGGTAAAGGGAAGTCCTAATCCAAGAAGGATTCGGATTCCTTACAAGATAGTTTTTGACCAAGCTCCAGACGATCTTGCTCTCCTTCTTTTGAAGTCTTCGAGGTACGTCTTCCTTCATCTAATGCCTCTAGGTTGTAGTAGAAAAATCATGCTCTCATGTGGAACCATTCTCTGGGTTGATTCGCCACCAATTTTCTCGAATAGGCCTCCAAAGTTGGGTATCCAAACTATCTTCCAGAATTGGTGAAATTCTGGCAGTTTTCCAGTTTTAGCATAGCTCGAAAAATGGTCTTCGTGACTTCCCCTTGAGCATCCAAGCTTGCCAATGTGTAGAGAAACATTTTTTCTTCAAAACAAGCATTTAATCTCCCATTTCTATCAAGCCATTTGTGACAACCAAACTTGCAAAGTAGGCTACCTGAAACTGTAAAAACACTTGGACAAATTTTAAGTTCCTTTTCACAACTTGTGATGGCTTCTTGATTGATCCATTATGAATGAACAAGGAGGCAATCTGGGATTGTATTAGGCCACCCCTCATAAAAAAGCTTTTTCCTCAAAGCTTTGGCCTTCCTAATCTCAAAATTTTCATAGAATCGATCCTAAATTCGGTCGAAAAAGGCTAGTTGAACTCGATTTTCTGTAAAATTGGAGCATAGCTCGTCGACAATACCTTTGGGGATTTCTGATTCCAGTATTCCCAGTTCAATTCAGGGTCACCAACATCTTCGCCATACCTCCAATCATCATTCTGAATTTGGTTCCCCGACTCGATTCACACCCTCTTTGTCGGCGAATCATTTTTTCCCCGTTTCCCGCCACCGTCGATGTTCAATGTTGCAGAACCCAGGAAACTCAAGCCCGAATTGGGCGTTGGTATTCCAGGAATCTCGGCCTGCAATTGGACCTTCCTACAACTTCGGACATCCCTTCCCAATGATTCTTCACTGTCGGCTTGCTTCGATTCATTCCCAGATGCTCCCATCGTAAAGCTCAACATTTTGTCGTCTCTGCTCATTTCCAGGGGTACTTTAGCTCGATCCAAATCTAGAAAATTAGGCGTAGTTGATTCCATCAGGCCTGTGGATGAGCTTCTCGATATGTAATGGATCGTGTCGGGGTTAGATGGTGGGTTCGACTCTTCGCCCAGACCTCCGACGAGATCACTCTCTCTCCTACTATGCTCCGATGATGAGTTGCAGAGTTGTTGTTGAGGATGAATCTTCTTCCTTTTGTATGTTGTCAACATGAAGCGTCGAGCTACAAGGCTAGCTTCCAAACGCTTCTCCGAGAGGGTCTTACTGGATTCTCCCTTTTTTCGCCGTCGACTCGCTTCCTGATGGTTTTGATCAGCTCGGACTTCGGCCGGAGACATTGGCTTAAACACAAAATTCTGGTTTCTATGCCGAAATTTGTAGCAATTTGTTCCTCCGTCATGGCAAACCCCTCGATCAAATTACTAGGGTCGTCCAAGCAACAGGTGAGAAGTTTGCATCAAAGCTACATCAAACTGAATCTCATCTTCATATCGTCCGATTGCGAACTTGAGTTTAGCCTGCTTGTTGACCTTAATTGCATTGTAATCGTTAAACCAATGCAATGTGTAAGGCTCAGGGTGTTTGCTAGTTCTCAATCCGAGTTTCTTAACCACATCAAAGCTCACTACGTTCATACATCTTTCCCCATCTATGACTAGAGATA